GGAATACGTGTGCCCGTGGTGCACCATTTTCATGTTGCTGTTCAGGTTCTAATGACATTGTTCAACTTGGCTATCCAGAGCTACTTAAACAAGGATAAAGAAATAGTCTTTGTTATATATAATACAATAATAATAATTTTAAAAAATACTCACTGAAAAAGTATTGGATTTGAAATAGGCAGTAGATGCAAGAAACCCCTTAAACATCTTGCAACTGAAGGAATTTTACAGGAACAAACATTTCAGCAAACCAAAGTCAGAGACTGGTGGACAATGAAGCAAAACATCTACAGGAATGTACTTTTGCTAAAGGAGGTTATTGTAGTTACTGAGGATCAACACTTTCTCGTTCAAATATATCCAATAAGATAATAACTTACATTTACTTAATTTCTTTTTTCACATTGCTGTATATTCAACTACCAAGATGAGCCATCCGATGACATTTTCCCATTAAATGGAACAGAGATATGAGTCTCGATAAGGCAGAAAATGGATTTCCCAAAATGCTCAAATTGAGAGGTGTGGGAACATATGACAGTGGTGTCTCCAGCGTGATAGAAGCTGATGATAACAGGGATATCAGGCCACTGACAACTGTTACTAAAACATTTGACTGAACAGCTGCTTGTACTGGTAAGGCAGCCTTAATTTATCACGAGGTCAAAAAGTGACGTCTGAATCACATGCTGCAATGACCAACACAATAAGTAGAAACATCAATCTATTATAATACTTATAGGATCTGGAATGTGAACCTGTGTCTCTGTCTCTGTGAATCAGGGAGTGCTTAACACTCTCAGTTCCCATCTCGTAAATGGATTAGGGTTAGTGAAAATCACAGAATAAGAACTTTCACATTTACTACATCCCAGCCAGTGATACTGATTACCACACATCAGAACAGACACACACACACTTCACTAATGTATTCTCAAAAACACACACATAAAGTATCATCCCATAAATAACACTATGCACTCAGCATAACGATAGTGTTAAGGCCAATTCATGGTTTCCATATGACTAATGCTAACTTTAAAAGCAAACAGTGGACACACACACACAGTTCTATTCACAACACCATGTACACATCAGTCTGCTACGAAATTGCTCCTCATATCAAACACAGAAAAACAGATGGGGCTTGTGTGGATGTTTCTGGAAGGCTGTGACTTTGCACATGCTACAAGATTTAGGAGCTGATTACACTTTGGACTGTAGTACTGCATCATTGTGAACACTGCTGAGGTGGGCCAAGCTCAGTGGGCAAACACAGCACAAGATTTCTGGAGAATTTTGAACTTCTCACTGTGGACACCTTAGATGGAAAGTGTGTATAAATTAAAGCACCTCCAAAGACTGGCAGCAACTATTTTAATAACAACTCTTTTAATGATGAATTACAACAATGTGGATGACGAAGAATCTCCTCCGACAATGTCCTCATATCAAGAATTAGTTTTGTACATCTTTTGTTTTCCTTGTATGTGCACAGGGAAGGCGGTCATCAGTCTTGACCAGTTGGGTGAGAGTGAGGATGAGGGGGTGGGGATAGCAGGATCGCAGATGGTGGGTAGCAACAGAACGGAACAATAAATGTGAATAAAAGTATTTTGGGGGTCGTGAGGCCAGCGGCTGCAGGTCAGGGACGTGAAACTCCGGATCCAGAGAGAACAAGCACCGGACCTCAGGGGAAACACAGAGTTAGTGATATGTAATGGTGGTTATAACTGTATGGAAGAAAGGAGAGGAGAGGAGAGGAGAGGAGAGGAGGGGAGGGTAGGGGAGAGGAGCTCAGTACATCTTTGGAATCCCCTGGCAGTATAAAGCTATAGCAACATAACTAAGGGACAGTTTGTCATTTCCCAAATCAGTACCTGGACACACAAGCACAGCCCAAAATTTGTGCCAAAACTAACTATGTTACAAGGGCGATAAGGTGTATGCTTGGAAGTAATGAGGATGTGCAAAATCCATAGCAACAACCTACCACAGAGGCATGTCTGAGAGTCATCCAAGCAGACTCTCAAAAACTACAAAAGTAGTATAACAACAACAACTTTGCATCTCTGGATGGCCACACCAGAAATATAATCAAGGTTTCAAGAGATTTGGCTACCTTAGTCAGTTTTTTAAATTCCATCTGTGTTTTCACAGTGCGGACGTAATCACAACTAGCTGATGAATCGTATCCTGCTCTATCGCTATGAACAATAGCACTGTATGAATGGCCTTTAATGTCAGATCAATGAAACATGGATTCTGAAGATTTAATCAGCAAACAGGGATTTATAACCAACAAGATAACCAACAGTCAAGATTGTTGTGTTTTTCTCTTTTAAAGAGTATGTTTATCAAAAAATACAAAAAAAGAGTATTTTTCTTTTATAGTTTCCTCATATTTTACCTCAGCTCGGATCTCTTCATGCCGATAGTGTGGGTTTCATCAGTCTTCTTTCATCCCTAGGATGTGGTGATCCTGTTTAATTTGGTGTCCTCGGTAAACTCTTTGTCAAATCCCAGAACATAACCAGTGTAACTTATATAGCATCAAATAATAGAATATGTCATCACAAGGCACTTTGAGTAATGATTGTAACATATCAAAAATGTCTATGTCTATCTAAATATTAAATAAAATTCACAGTTTTCCACACATGATTTTTTTTTTTTTTTTTTTATCTGTTTCACAAGTGAGAATTTCTTCTAATTTTTGTAAGGTGGCAGTAAATGAAACTTTTTTAGTGGTATTCAGTGGAATAGTGACATTTGTGTTTCAACAGACCTCAATGTAAATAGTTGACAACTTCTACTGAAGAAGCAGTCCATATACATCTTAGGGACTATATGAGCAATCACTAAGGTGTAATTAGGTCAAGAAATTGTTTAAGAAAATCACAGAATATATACACATATATATTTCATAGCTTAAAACACATTCTTATTTTGTTTCTTGTGTCTCAGATTTTTACTGTTTTGGTGACATGAACTTCATTTATAGGGTTTGAATGGCTGCAAAGGAAGTACATTCCATTGTTGTACTTGTTCTTGTTCCCTGCTGTTGGCTGTTACACAGCTGCTTGGCAGGCTACTGGCTACACATCTTCACCTTCTTCTCACCATGCTGCACTGACTAACCACAGTGGAATGTCACCCAATCACCAATGGCTGCCAAGCCTCCAAAAACACCTATTAAAGGCCAGTTGGTCTTTAATTAGCAATTCAAATCTGTGTTCACCACAGGGCATGACACTGTAAAAGTACAGTATGTTTTATGGCACTCCCCTTTTCTCTGTGTCTGCTGCCAGTTGGCTGTACTTCTACCATTATTAACCGGGAACAAGCTCCAACACAAGCAAACAGATAGCACAGATTGCTCTTAGAAATATATGTGATCTGTCTGTTCTTTGTGAGTCATTGAAGGATTTATTGATGCTGCTCACACACTGAAGAGACATGCATGTCAGCATTGACAGCTTTACATTTAGTTGTGAAGGATAAGACAGATAAAGTGAAGACAGAAATCTTTAGTAAAGGCTTTATTACCTGCATTTTTTTTATTATTATTATTTGCATGTGAACTGGAATGATGATCACTGATAAGTGATAAGTGGATGAAAGCAGTCTTTTCCCTTTTCCAAACTTAATGAAACGGAAAAGCAAGCAGGGCTGAATTACCTACTGGGCAAAATAGGCAACTCCAAACATACTGTACATGTTTGTTTAGCAATATGCATCACTGTAGCACATTATCAAATGAAATGATGAAGGTCTTATTGGTCTTAAATTATGACAGCACAGAAGTGTATGTATATCCCAATATTACATCATGATTCAGGGGTGTGTTGGCAAAAGGGCAAAATCAAAGTAAAGAAAAAAGTCACCAATAGGCCTGAATAGTTACTCCCAACAAAAGCTTATTTTTGGACTATTACAACTACTACAGCGTTTAATTGTCTTTATCTGAAGTCAGAAGGAGTCATCATTAGAAATATCAGTCCCATGTTGAGACATTGTATCACATGTTTATCTCAAATTATTACCAATATTTACAACAAAGTCAGTCAGTGACAACAACTGACAAATGTAATAAATCCATTCTACAAAACTTTGGACAGAATATGCAAAGGTGGTAAATATGTTTACACAAAGGGACACTTACTTTTATTCAACAGTCAAAACAAATTAACCCTCAAAATGAACAAAGCTGGTGGTAACCGGTGATAAATAAATATTAAATATCAACGAAAATAAAAACAAGATTTTTTTGAAAGAAATACTGCTTCACTTCTGTTGTTTATGTTCAGAGTAAAACCAGCAGCTTTAGGTTTAGTAGTTACATGTTGTTGTGCTTTAACACTATGTCAATAAATGACGGCTAAAGAAGTAGACCGTCGTTTTCCTGCCGACAGTGAATACCACAGAGCTGCCTTAATGTCACCTCACTGAAGGTTCACGGAGGGTTGTGAAGAAAGCGGTGGTGTAGTTAGCGCCTGGTGGCTGAAGCCTGCTGCAGAAAACACTCCCTGAGCCGAGTGAAGACACAGACACAGTCTAAAACTACTCTGTTCACTCGCGTTCCGACAGAGACGAAGTCCCTCTTTCTGACAGAGAGAAGGCCTTTCTGACTAAACGAAAAATATTTTTTTGTTTTCATTTACCGAGCAACACAGTAGATAAATAAATAAATGATAGAAATTGTTTTTAACACGATAACACCGCATTCTTTGTGCGCGTAAACGCGCACCGTGTGCAAATGCGTATAGCCACCTGCAGCATCTCTCCTCCTGTGTGCTAAGTCAGTGAACCCTTTTAAAGTAGTTTTCGTGGCTCCGTTTCAACAACGTGTTAATTGCTTATTATTTTTAAGTGAGGGGTAGGGGCGGTCTCTCTGGTTCTCTCTTGCCCTGTCAGTTGTTGGACAGGTTTGACGGGGAGGCGGGTTTTTCTCCTCCCTGCTACGGTTAAGTAGCTGCCCGCAGCGGAGCATAGAGAACATTCCGCACCAGTCTTCCTCCGACTTTGTCGCCACCTCTCTGTCTCTGACTCGCAGGAAAACTCGGACTTTTATACCGGGGCTAAATTTAGGGGGCTGGTCGGTGCGTAGTGTCCCCATCCTGGACAAGCTTCCTTCCCCCTGCCTCGCATTGGTCTGATTTTTTGCAGCAATATTTATAAGAAAAGTAGCTCCTTCCAGAGGCACAGCTGCACATGAGTGAGGAACAGCAGCTCATCAGTCAGCAGAAGAAACGACGCGTTCTGTCGCTTTTTTTCCTGGAGAGTCAGCGGACCAGAGACTTTCTTTACAACAAAAAGAAGTCCCTTTTCTCAATCACTGAGGATTTTTTTCAGCTTTATAAAATTACACACAGAAATGGCCTTGAGTGGGACCATTTTACCCTCAATCTCTACGTTTGCTAACCAAAAGGAGAAATGTTGGGAAGATGTAAGTTGCACACATATATATTTACTCATGCTTTAAGCACAGATACAGATGTGAGTTAATCACACAGCTTGTTTTGCTGGTGTCAATCCTATTTGTCAGAATGCATAGCATATATGACATTTGTGAAGTCTTAAGTAGTTTTTTGTTGTTGTTTCTTTGTTTGTTTGTTGCAAAATTTAGCATCCAGAAGTTTATAGGCAGTGGTTAAATCATGTTTAATTGTTTCTTTATATTGTTTCTTGCGAATATTCACGTATTTCTGGGGCACTTTTGTGCGTTTTGGGCGGCTATGAAATAGATATCAGTTGTTCTAATGAGTAATCTGAACCGGCTGTGAAAAGGTTTAATATTGTGAAACAAACTAACTGTGCTCTCTCACCCGCTCCAGAGGTGGAAGGGCGATATGGGCAGCGCGCACGACATGGAGAGCAGCTGCCTGGGCAGAAAAGACGAAGAGGACCTGGATAAGTTCTTGGATCTTGAATTTATTCTCGCAAACACGGCCGGCTCCGACAGTCCCCCAGTCAGCGGGACGGTAGCAGAGTCTTATCGACTTCAGGACTCCGTTGCGTCCGTGTATCACCAGCAGCCGCCGACCAGTTACACCACCGTCCCAGACATGAACAGCCCTCCACCTCCCTACAACAGCCTGATGGCGGAGCTCCTTCGCTCCGACGTCGATACCGGCTTCCTCCCCGGCGGCAGCCCCACTATCCAGGGGAGATTCTTGATTAGCTCGGCGTCTTTCCAGACCACTCAGGACTTATTCCCCGAGCACCCGAACATTAAAGTTGAGCCAGTTTCAATGGACACGTACGGACCTGTGATGGGTCTGGTGCCTCAGAGCTGCACTAAAGTCAAGCATGAAGGAAACGTCTCTTGCATGATGTCCTACGAGCAGCAGCCGCGGCAGGCCAACTCCCCGCAGGCCGCGATGGGCAGCATGACCCCGCCGCTCAGTCCGGCCGACCTGATGAGCTCCGAGTGCCAGCAGCCCCAGATGTGCAACTCGACCTCGCTGCCATTCCCGCAGCGGTTCCATCCGCACCACCGCAGCGCGCCAGGGGGATTTACTCATCAGCACTCCGGGATTCAGCTCCCCTTCCCCGGCGCGCACCACCATCACCAGTTCCCCAGTATCTTCGTCGAGGACGCGGCCATGGGCATGCAGCAGCAGCCGGCGTCCGGCCAACGGGTGCTGCTCACCCCGCCGTCCTCCCCGCTGGAAATGATGGACACCAAGCCAAAAAGGGGTCGCCGGTCCTGGCCAAGGAAACGGACTGCGACTCACACCTGCACTTTCAGCGGCTGTGGAAAGACCTACACCAAGAGCTCCCACCTGAAGGCGCACCTCAGAACGCACACAGGTAAGATCCGCACGCTGCATGTGATGGACGCTCAGTTTACCCATCTGCCTTGGAACTAAAAGGTCACTTACTGTTGTTCTTTGTATTTGTAGGAGAGAAACCGTACCACTGCAGCTGGGAGGGCTGCGGCTGGAAGTTCGCTCGTTCCGATGAGCTCACACGCCACTTCAGGAAGCACACCGGGCACCGGCCATTCCAGTGTCACCTGTGTGAACGTGCCTTCTCCCGATCTGACCATCTGGCTCTGCACATGAAAAGACACATGTGATGAGAGTTCCGAGAGGCATAAATGGAACAGATAAGGACTTGTATGCACCGCATCAACCCGATGATGAGAGCTCTAGTAATCCCGTGGTCAGCTATAGATGGATGAAGATATAGGCCAGATGCAACTTCCTATAGAAGTATTAACTGTAGTGGTACCATGGCAGGTTAAACTGCCATACAATATGATGAGGCCACTATTGACTACACTGTAATATCTACATGTGTATCATATGAATATTATAGTGATTTTTCATTAAGTCTAATTAAGCATCAAGATGAAGTGTCCTTATATAAAGCTATATTTTGTAAAAAAAAAATAAAATAAAATAAAATAACATTTAAAAAAAGAGGGGGAAAAAGGGGGGGGGGGGGGGGGGGGTTTTTTAAAATTTTTTTTTTGTAAAAAAAAAAAAAAAAAAAAAAAAAAAAAAATTTAAAAAAAAGGGGGGGAAAAAAAAAGGGGGGATCTATTTAAATGTCATTTTTGACAGAAATGACAAGCAAAATGCAAATAACAAGCAAATACAGCCAGATATGACAGAAACAGATGAATTCTGTTCAGACTTCTTTTAGAACTATGTAGCTGGTACTACGTTTTTATATGGAATGCTGTTTATATAGACAACAAGTGGAAGGAACATTCTTTTCAACATGTCAGGCACATGCCACTGAAGCAACTGGATGCAGACAATCCTCTGAAGAGTGATGTTCCTCTTTGTATTTTCACCATTAATGCCTTTTGTATCACATTATTACATATCTTACGAGTGCCATATTCTCTACTGGCTAAAAGACAATCAAAGTTTTATTCTGTGTTATATTGTAAGTTTAAAAAGCACACAAAACAAGCTTTGAGACAATGTTTTGTTCTAAAACTGCCTTTCATTATGTCCTCCTTGAAGGCTTGAACTGAATGTCATGTCTGTGAGTCTGTCTGTTGTCTACTAGTATTTTAAGTCAGGGTCTTCCAGTAGAAATTCTCACAGAAGTGCATGCCATCTCAGCTCCCCGTGATTGACAAAGGGCTACGCAGTCTTTGGCAATAAGATTTGTTTGTTACTGTGTTGAAGAGATGTACTGCCTTGTAAATAGAATCTTTTTATATAATGTAAATAGTTTATTTTAATGTATATATTAAACTAAATGGACAACATGATCTCAGAGTACAGTGTGTGATTGTCAAAGATTTGGATGAAATTGTATAAAACTTGTTCGACTGTACAATTAGCACCGGGGGGAGTCTATTTCGAGCTACAGACCCAGCACACAGGTGCGCTGTGCAGCCTATGTACCACATCAGACCATCAATAATTTATCAGCTATCCTACTTTGAGAAGGTTTGGAGACATATGTGAGCATTATTCACAGACTGGAGCCACAGATCAATGTATTGTTATTGGTGTTCAGAAAAAAACACATGAATAGCAGCCTTAAAGATGAGTGTGCCTCCCCCCACCAATTGTATCTGACCAAAGAGTAATAACGTAAATGTAATAACACAAACAATACATAATACAAAGACAGTTATATCATTTATGTAGTAACTGAAAAAATGAATAATGAGTGTTTTAATTTTAATTGTTTCATTTTAAAAATGGTAATTGAACACAAATACAAATTTGCAAACTGTTACAAGGACCGTGCAACATGCAACTTCACATTTTAAGAGGTCAGATATGGCCTGATAACAGCTTGATACAGTGGCTTCCAACATGGATTTCTGGATGCCCTAAGACGGATCTGAGGGGTCGCAGGTAGATTAACCACATACTGTAGGTGAAAAGGAGTCACAGAGCACAGGAGTAATCTTCAGTTGTTTTTAATAATAGAGTGTGATATTCATCTAAGAATAAAAACTAATACCTGAAACAGTTGGAGAAGGAAACACACTGGTTAAACTTCTAATAGATCTGTAACAGTAAATTGTGAATCAGATTTGTTTTGTTCTAAAGCATTATTTGCTTTAGGTTGGTTACCACTGCCCTAAAACAAGACTATACTCACAATCACTTAAAAGTATAGCTTCCTTTTCAGATTGTTTTCTTTGAATAACTTACACATCCAAGGACGTACAAATATATCGTAATTTTACATTAAAACAATATCTGGGGGAAAAGGAGATGTTGCATAGCAAAAATGTGCTTTTTTCACTTTCCTCATATGGTTCAGAGGTGGAATTTTATTCCATCTTCCATATATATGGTCCTGATGCTTCCCAGCTGGGACACAGTGGCTGCCAGAGCGCTGTGGCAGCCGCCTATAAATACAAACATTACATTGACATAATTACAGAGGCCTGATTTAGATGAAGGCTGCGTCGGGGCATAGGGGCAAACCACAATGAGTGGGAGGGATGAAGTGGTGAAAAGAAAGACAAACACTGTCTCAAATAAACTGAAAAGACCCACTAGGATAAAGGAAAGTTCAGAAGGAATGTAGATGAAAAATCTGCTTCATATACCAGTGTTTTCAAGACGCTTGTAGAAATTAATGGCAGGGATGCTGATACCAATGCATGTGAGGATGATTGTTTTTTTTTTTTTTAAATCATATTTTTTTGTATGAGCAGACACTGACTTTGGTCAACTTGCTGTTTAGCTAAGCAATCTGCTATTTCAAACTTAATTTCTTTTTTTCCCAAAGAAAACATGTAACGTGCTGGTATCGTGATTTCTGTGAACTGGTATTCCTCACCCTCCTAGAAAGCAGGTGTTTAGATGAAAACAGTGAGATCAGTGCTGTGGTTTGAACTATTGTTGTGTTGCATCAGAAGTCAGGGATAAGAAAGCCATGATATGGAATTTTTAATATGAAAATGACTGTTGCCGGAACATCCACTGGAGCATGACAGCTGGTTGAGGGGAGTCAGTAAGTGTTTGATCATCTGAGTATCTCTGTCTGTCACTTCTAAGAAAAGGTCTGATGAAATTTTTTTTGTTGCCTTGCCCTAAGGACGGACTGAAAACATTGAATAGAAGACATAGTAAGAAAGAGAAGAGGAAGACCTCTATATGCCTCAGATAAAGTCTTGTCTAGATCCATGTCTGAAACCCTCTTTCCAAAAATGTCTATATGGAAGAATTTGTTTAGCTTCCTGAAACAGAAGACATCAGACAATAATACTCACTTTATGCAGTGATTGGCCGGTGTGTGGAGATGTAAAAGAAGGAGGTGATTGAACTTTTCTGCCTCATTTTTAATTCTTCACACAGTTTCCTATTTCTCTGCCTGTCTGCAGGTATGTGCTGTTTATCCCTGTTTGTAAAAATCATCACATTTCTTACATTTCTGTACAGGAGGCTTTTCACCCTTTTTTCAATACGGGAATTAAGGAGAGACAAAAATGTAAAAAAAACACACAGTGTGCACCCGGGGTTATTAAAAGTATATCCTAAATGTTTTAAGGAATGAAACATAAAGAGTGGGCTACCACTTTTATTACAACATGGGTCTTCATTTTGTAGTTTGGCCATCAGCCTTACTTTAGACTGGTTGAAAACAGGTCCTGCAGTTAATTTAACCGATTACTATTCAGAGTGCACATCACAAATTTTGCTGTAATGAATATAACTAATGATCAGAAAAAGCCTTAAAAAGTTAAAAGTAACTCAAACAATCGTTTTTCTTTAAATCTGACAATTTCCAAGCAGCACACAAATTCATAAACTATTTATGTTGACTACTAGAGACGATAGCTGCTTATCAAAGTCATGAAACTCACTCATTTCACACTTGCACTGGAGAACCAGTCAGAACATCAGTGTATACTTTTGGTTATGAAAGGTCACACACCTCACTATCATTTTAGCAATGGCCCCATGCCAGCCTTGAGAAAAGAGGAACCCTCACATCTATCATTAGAACATTTGCTCAAGTGAAAAATTTCATTTTCATTTCACTTTTTCAGCTGGGTACAGGAGGGAGGCTGCCACTGCAGAGCGTGGGAAGCTCCGAACTGAGATGGTCAGATGGTGTAGACATTGGTTTCTGTGTTTTCTTAGATATGCAGCGTGTGTCTGTAGGAATCGGTTGAGATTGAGCTTCAGATAAATGCAAGTAGACCAGAGCAGGGCTGCTAAACAGTAATGTGCACTCTGGTCTGAAGGAAGAACCTCCTGTTGGCTATCCAAGCTTTGTTTAAAATACTAGTGGAAATCCCAAATTTTCTAATTTCATTTACTTCCATAATGGTTGATCTGAAAACTGTACAATCATAGATAGCAGCTGTTCTCCCAATCTGGAGTTCATGTCTATCAAATACTGTCCTTTCTTTTTACTGAGGGAGCTGTCAATAGCTGTCGTTACTGCTGTTTATGTACCATCAAATGCTAATGTTAGCAGAGCTCTTGCTTTCCTCCATGATGCTATAAAAACAAACAGCAGCAGACCTATTCCGATGGTGTGCACATTATAGCCCGGGATTTTAGTCAAGCAGACCTTAAGACAGTTCTCCCACAGCTCTAACAGCATGTTAAGTGTCCAACCAGGTGAGGAAATACTCTTGATCATGTTTATACTAACATCAAATACGCATACAGAACTATTCCTTTCCCACACTTAGGCCAGTCAGACCACCTCTCTCTGCTCCCTGCTAGAGAACAGAATAGAATAGAATAGAATAGAATAGAATAGAATAGAATAGAATAGAATAGAATAGAATAGATCTTTATTGTCATTGTAACATGTACAACAAAAATCAAGTGCAAACCTGAATCAGTGCAACAACAACAAAACAAAGTTGACATCATGAAAGATTAACCAAGTATCATAATAGGTACTAAAATGCCATAAAAAGATATGAAAATATCCATCCATTATCTATACACTGCTTAATCCTCACTAGGGTCGCGATGGGGCTGGAGCCTATCCCAGTCGACTTAGGGCGAAGGCAGATGACACCCTGGACAGGTCGCCAGTCTATCGCTGGGCTACACTTATAGACAGACAACCAAGCACACTCACATTCACACCTACGGACAATTTAGAATCACCAATTAACCTCAACATGTTTTTGGACTTGTGGGAGGAAGCCGGAGAACCCGGAGAGAACCCATGCTGCACGGAGAGAATATGCAAACACCACGCAGAAAGATCCCGGTGCCCCCACCAGGACACGAACCGGCGATCTTCTTGCTGCGAGGCAACAGTGCTACTAACTGCGGCACCTTGCAGCCCTAAGAAAATACCATACAATATACTTATTATACTACAACAGGCATTACAGACAAACCCAACAGATATCTACATTCAACAGTTTTTGCTGTGGGATAAAACTATTTTTCAGTCTGTTTGTCCTTGTTCTCATGCATCTGTATCT